CGTCTGTGTGGTAATGATTGGGTTATGCTGAAGTTCACAATGCCCGCCTGACAAAGGAGTTCTTCCAAGACAATAACATCAATCTTTTGGACCAGCATGTTCCCCGGATCTAAACCCAACTGAGAACATTTGGGGATGGATGGCAAGGGAAGTTTACAAAAATGGACATCAGTTCCAGACAGTGGATGGCCTTCGTGAAGCCATCTTCAACACTTGGAGCAACGTTCCCACTAGCCTCCTGGAAACACTGGCATCAAGTCTAAACCATTGTTTGAAGTRATCAACAAGAATGGTGGAGCTCCTCATTACTGAGTCCTTTTTTTCACACTTTGATCTCTGTTTTGGGGGGTTTTCAGGTTTGTTTGAGCTATGGTCTTAAACTTTTGATCAGCTGAAAAAATCATGTTTGAGTGTAAATGCAGTTTTCAGAAAATTCCTGCTCAAAAGTTCTGGTCTCTTGCACTGATTTCTTCTTTTAACATTGTGAAGCTCTACTTAGAACCTTCTTAAGATCCGATTGTGCAAAATGCAAATTCTTGCAATTTTTTGACTGGTCTTAAGATTTTGATCAGGAGTGTATCTTGCTTGGGTAATCTAAATCTTAGTAAGCAGTAGATTTGAGGATAATTAGATACGGATACAGTAGTAACAACTGGACCATTTAAAAGCAACCATAATAAAGTTGTATATTGAAGAGTTACTCCAATCTCACCTCTCTTTTTGGCAGACTTTTCCTTCCTTTGGCCGCAAGATGTGGAGGTAGGAGAGGTCACTTTGTTGACTTCTGGCATCAGACAGTCTGAAATGATGATTTTTAAGAACAGAAAAGAACATGCTCAGCTCATCTTATTACAATAAATGTGCTGATCAAGAGTACAGGTTCCAACAGCAAGCAAAAAAAATAAATAAAACTCTTGTGCTGAAAAGGAGTTATTACAATCATGTTTTGTAAATCAAATAAAATACTCTCTGAACCAAATTTGGATTTTGMTAAATATCAGACAGGAGCAGATATAAATGTAATGGGCTACTTAAAGAGTACTGACCACAAACTGCAGTTTTACAAACTCACCTTTCTGTTTGGCCATTTTTTTCTGACTTGAGCCACTGGACGTGGGGGTAAAAGGAGTCTCTTCAGAAGCTTCTGACATCTGCTCTTCTGAAATATTGATTTTAGAAACAGAAAAAACTGTTTGTACTTTCAGTGATCTACAGTGATATTACCTTAACATTTCATTTATATTTAGGTAATGTAAAATGTGTCTAACTCAAAGAAAAGAGGCCTTTTTTGTTGTACCGTTTGATTATGTGAACATTTTACCTTCTTGTGAGGATAATATGGCGCCATCCTCAGTTCCCTTGGGCATATCATCTATGTACARGAAAGAAGAATTGTTTTCACAAGAAAGAATTAAAATTACAATAAAAAGAAAAATGAAATAAACTATTGCTTGGATCCACTTTTTTTCTGCTTCAGCCTTCAGCGAGATKGGACGCTTCTGCAGCTGCTCCTCCTTACCCTGCTTTTTGCAGAATAAGAAGATCTTGTCCCTGAGTGGGACAAGACACAGACACAGGACTCTGCCCTAAATGTCAATGATCTTGCTGATCAAGCCCCATCTTCCCTCCCCCTATATGCTACCTTACCCCAGGTCGCACCCCCTCCCAAGCTCTCTTGCTCTTTGCCGAGTAGTTTTTTGTGCGTATGACTTTGTGTTTATGCAAACACAGGATCAGAGCAATTTTTAAAAACTCAACTATCCTCATGTGTGTATTTCCCAGCTGTTAAGTGCAGCGTGAGTAACCGCGCACGGCCTTGTGCATTCTGATCCCCCATGTTTTGTCATGTTTGTCCTCTTGAAACGGGCTGTTCTAAACTGCATTTTGTTCTGAATTCATGTTTACAATGAAAAATAAAGCATCCTAGGTAATCCTAATTGACAAGAAATTAGGATTAATATAGGTTTACAGCAGAGGTTGTGCTGGACATTTTAGCTMTCTGTCATTTTGACTGACAGGTTAAAAAAATTCATAATCATCAATTTTTACCCATCACTTCCTTTTACATGATAATGACTAAACTAGGCTTGAGCGATAGAAAGATATTTTGTTATAGCCTACTGCAGTTTCAAAATATGCTGATAATATCAAACAAATGACGGGGGTATGAGTCACACAAGGTGAAGCGCATCTGATCACCTCTCAGCTCATTCAGAAAACAAACAGAAGGGAGAAGGGAGCAGACRCCATTTCTCTCCTGCGGGAGCTYGGTGGGAAAAAAGTGCTGGGAGCGCATTGGGACGTGTACTGACACACCTCGCTGGCTGTACTTGGACAGGTTTACAGGCCAACCAGCTGCAAGTTTCTTCATTCAAGCTAATATTTTGGACTACTAGAATATAAACTTTCTTTCATTTTGCAACTTTAAACTCTAAAAAGATTTACCGTATTTTTGGACCACAATGCACAACTTTTGTTCTAGAATTTGCATTAAAAAAATGAACGTGCGCCTTATGGTCCGGTGCGCCTTTTGTGTCACTGAATTCTAAAATCTGTGCCAGTCGCCACAATTTCGAATTTCGCACCAGAAGAATTTCACGCCAGAAGTTTCCCTATGAGGCATTCGGGAGGGAGGGAGGGGAAGCTCCCTCCCTTTGCTGCGTCACACTCCAAGTATGCCACCACACCAGAGCTGCTGCAGCTGGAGGAGTTGGTGGTCCTGCTCTCTGATGCCCCCCAGCAGTGAGTTCACGCTGGACACGAAGCTGCCGAAACACGGGCTGTGCTCCGCAGAGGAAGGCGACGACGAATTGGGCTCCGTGGAAGCCGGGGAGCTGTGCAGTCTGGGCAGGGAGGAGCTCAGCAGGCTGGCTGGGGAGGAGGGCAGCTTGTCCTCGGACTTCACAAACAACAACAAAATGGCGCCAGCGAAGAGACACTCTTTTACAAGGCACAATTTAAAATTAAAGCAATCGATTACGTTGTTTTCCACGGAAATAGATCAGCTGCAAGAGAATTTAACATAAATGAGTCTATGGTTTTGAAGTGGAGGAAAATGGAGAACAAACTGAAAATGGAGAACAAACGTTACAACAGCCGGCTGTTAACGAACACCCAGAATGCGGATGTGACTTTGATTTCTGAATCGGGGGAGGGATCCACTGCGGTTAGTTGCAGAAGTTGCCAGCGGATTATGCCGAAAATCTGGATATATTTTCAGCACTTATTATAAAAATAAAATCACCTGGTGACAAGTTGAAAAGAACTTGGAGCTTGCTATAATTCTTGGAGGACTAACAAAGGAGCTACAGCCGCTGGACTCATGTGTGAATTGGGCTTTTAAAGCAAAGCTGCACGGAGTGAGAGAGGTGGACGACAGACGGGGAATACAGCCGAGAAGCAGCGTCGGGTGACCGGGAGGCAGCGTCGGCAAGTTACGCGACCATTACAAATAGTGGCTTATTGTATGTTAAGAAGTTTTTTTTTTCTGGCTATGTGCATGTGTCTTGTCTGATAGGTGGTGAACCAGGTGGAACTCTCTGAGTCTGGTCTGGAGCTGGCAGTCTGGACCAGTGAGGGACTGAGCTCTTCAACACCTGCAGACACACCATCCTGCACAGAGTCTCAGCTGCCCTAGTTTTGATATTCAGGTTTTATTCATGTTTGAAATAGTTGGAATCTGCACCTTTGTGTCCCTTTTTGTAAAGAGTTTAACACAAGGGAGTTTTATATTTTGTGCTTTGTTTTGAAAAAAAGGGCAGCACTGTTTTGGTAGCCATGTTTACCCTGTTTTTTTATCTTTATTTTTGAATTTTTTTTTGTTTCATTACCCTGTATGGAGAATAGAAAGTTCTGTGATTAAATGGAGATAAGCTCCTGTGCTCCAAAATTATTTGACTCTATGGTTGTCTCACTGGGCAGGTTTCAACACTCGTAGCTCGCACGTCACAATGAGTAATAACTAAAGGAGGTTAAAAGAAATTATCCTTTTTGTTGAGCACCACCTTCATGTTTCTTTGTCAGGATTTAAGTAAAGATTTTATCTTTTCTTTTTTGTTGAAGTTAAGGAGATGATTAAGTAGATAATTTTGTTTAACAATACTTTGATTTAAATAACACTTTAGCAACACATTACATTGCGCTTTATTTACTTTAAAGAAATTAGGAGTAGGGAGATGATCATGAAGCTTTTGTGACGGACAAGTAGATCTTAGCAAACTGCCTACTTCAAAAGTAGATCTCGGTTAAAAAAAAGGTTGGGCACCTCTGACATAGAACAACAAGTGCCAAATTTCTCAATCACTAGTTAATAGCAGCAAGTTAAAGGTTAATTTGTGTTATAAAGTGCCTTACTAGGGTAGACAAGGGCAACAAATGGCTCTGAACCTCATAAATTAGAATTTGAAAACCAAAAATATGTGATGAAATTTGTCAGATTTCAAAGCTCTTCAATGTTGGGACAGACTTTTGAAGGTCCTATATTATGTGTTTCCCAGGCCCATTTGTCAATGTTATATTAAAATAAAGAACTATGTCAACTTTAGTTGATATTAAAATGCTGTTTATTTGTTTAAATAGAAATAATACATTATTTCCTGTTCTGAACACTTGGAAATTGGCTTCTGTCGCTTTAAGAGCTTCTGTCCCACCCATTTAAGCACGTCATCACAGCAGCTTCTCTACAGAGCTCTGCTGTTTCCACTTTTTGGAGTTTTATATCATGTTATAAAGTTATCCTCTCCTCAAAAACATGCTCCGAGTCTTGCTTTGAGTCATTCATGCATGTTTGAGAAATCCTGCAGTGTCCTGCGTGCAGAAGAGAAAGTCAGGCTAAAGGGCAAAAACGCCCAGTGGGGCTTATCGCCGCCTTTGGGCTGTGTCTCTGAAACAAACTTCCTCATTCCAGAGCACACCACCCCACCCGCTGCCGGCCCGCAACTCCACAACAGGCTTTTACCAGTGCAAACACCCAAAGAAACAAAGTGAATCTAACTGGATGTAACTTTGTCTCTGTAATCACTCTGGTTCTTTAGAAAATAAACTTTCCAATCCAACACTAAGGTTCGTATGTATCCTGAAACGCAATTTTCAACAGATATTGTAAAATGTTACTTCTTTTTTTATCATCATTACAACAAAGTCTGCTACGAAGCCCCAGACTGTAAACAACAGAGCTTTACAGAGAAGCTGCTGTGATGACATGCTGAAACGGGTGGGACAGAAGCTCTTAAAGAGACAGAGACAAATTTCAAGGTGTTCATAACAGGAAACAATGAATTATTTCTATTTAAACAAATAAACAACATTTTAATATCAACTAAAGTTGACAGTTACTTTATTTTAGCATGACACTGACATATAGGCCTCGGAAACAGATAATATAGGACCTTTAAAACTACTAATATTTCCATTTAGATAATAAATTCATACCTCTCTCTTCTGAAGTCCCATCCATGGCAATCGTCTCTAAAATGGTAATGAGATAAATTTGAAGAGATTTGTTTACATTCAAGAACCAATTACACAACTGTTGAGATCATTACCATTTACAAAAGGGAATAAATTCATACCTTTCTCATCTGAAGTTCCATCCATGGCAATCGTCTCTAAAATGGTAATGAGA